TACATTTTATTATTTTTATTTATTTTTGAGCTCTGTGTCTACCCCTGCCCACCAAGATTTTCCTTTAGCCTTTAATTATTTAAAACGTTTAGCGCACTTTTTCTTTCAGATAATCACGCATGAATTTGCCAGGAAAAGCACTAATAAATGAAATTGTCGTAAATTTCTAACCTGAACGCTTTTTTCTTAATATCATCACTTTTTCTTTTATCTCTGAAGGACCTAATTAATTAAAAAAGATTTGCTTCCATTTTTTTCATCAATAACAGGTTGTTCGAATGTAATTTCTGAATTTGTTTCCAATTGGGAATAAATATACTTTCATCTCTGAATAAAAGCAAAATGTTCAGCCTCAAGAACGTAATGTTGTCTTAAACAGAAATAGTTTTAAATTCTTAGCCAAATGAAATTAATTTGGATTCTAAGTATCCATTTTAAAAAGCGCAGCCGACTTCTCTAATCCATTTGTTGCAAATTTAGACAAAGCAATATATCAAGCTGATTATTATCATCATAAATGGAACCTAACTTGTTAAACCTTTTCTTGTATGTTGGATGCAGATTTGATTAATTTATTAATTCTATGCCCAAACATTAAAATTAATAACCTCTATTTTTCTACATAGACGCCATTATAGACAAAAGGAAGACGAAAGAGAAGGTTGCAATGATAAATAAATCTTACTTTCCTTACCCTCACTAAATATTTATTTACAGACACCTTTCTTCCCATTAAAGCTGCTTGTTTCTACTCTTCAACCCTTATTGTTCGGAGATAACTTCCCTTTCATTCCTACTAAAAAAATGTGCTCCCGCTCCGAAGTCGTAAAAAATTATTTTTTTAAATATTTAAAACAAATGCCCAGCTTTCGTCTTTTGAAATAAATGAAAGTTTCTTTTTGTATTATTTCCTTATTGAATAAATCCTCTTCCTCCTTAAGCTCTCTAAAACCATTTAATAACTGGTTGTTGCGTATTTTGTTCTGAAAGTTTCCGCGTGTGTAGAGTAGTACAAGGAATGTATGTAATTGGGAAGCTCTGGTTGTAGAGTCAATGTTGTTGCCACCCCCTCCCTTTAGTCGAACGCACGAAGCCAGTCTAAAGTGGGTCAGCCTCTCTCCCCCCCCCCCTCAACCACCGGCCTTGCTACTACCCTTCACTTACTTTTGCCAGCTGGAAGACCATTTTCACTGAGTTCATTGAGGGGTTGGGCTTTTTTTTTCTTTTAAAATAATTCTAAATGAATCTTTGCTAGTTAGATAATTTTCTGTCGCTTCTTTTAGATGCGTGTTTTGTCGAGTTTGAAATCTGAGCACTAATAATGTAACAGCAGTAGTTGTCGTCGCAGTGGAAAAAAAACTGCTGCTGCTGCTTGATTTTGGACTCTGCTTTGTGTACTGTCTGTGTGTTCGTTGGCAGCCACCGATAAAGGCCATGCCTATGTAGAAACACATATATCCTGCGTTGTCTGATATTTATTTATTATAGCCATCAGTAACATCGACAACAAACTGTGTGTGCGTTAAACTAGTAACGGTAATTGTGTGCGTAAAAGTCTGTTGTGTTGTATTATTATTATTATTATTACGTGCCTGATTTGATCATCTCATCAGGCGTCAATATAAAAAAAAATGCTGTGTGTGATGGTTGTTATGTGTTGCTGCTGCTGCGCGTGATCATCACTATAGTTGTAGGTAAGGTAAAGGGCGATCGGGCACTTGGCCCTGCCTGCTACTGCTGCTGTCGTCGTCAGCTCCACAAATATGGTAGAGCTGTGCTATGAGTGAGTGAGTGAGTGCCTACCTTACTCTCTGTTCTGCTGCTGCTGCTGTTGTTCATTCAGCACAGACAGAGGACGCCTTTCCAGTAAGTTTCGCCTTTCTTCTGCTTCTTATACTTACTAATGCTGCAGCAAATGTTAAGTCTACACTGATCCGCGGATAGAGGGAGTGTTGTTTTTGTTGTTGTTAGTTACTCTGTGTGTTTCTTTTTCTCCTGATCAATACGAGAGATAAGCAAAGGAGCTTTACTCGATTTTTCTATCTTCCTTCTTCGCCGTCCATGTTGCTTGATGCAAATGCTCGGCCACTTTTGACTAGATTACCATTTTTCAACTAAATCCATGTGATCTTTTTTCTTCACTTCTCCTCCTCCTCCCTCTTCTTTTCGTAAACATGTGTTCTTTTTGTGTATTTGCATTACATCTACTTTTCCCCCATTGTCACTTCAGATTCGCTCATTATTTGTGCTGATTTTCCTTTCTCCTAATCTAACCCAATAGTGACCACTCAGTATTCTCCTCCTCCTTCCTTCATCATCTACAACTTTCCTCTTCTTTCGAAGTTTTTTTTTCATTATTTCTTCAATTATTTTTTAAACTTCGATTTTCTTTAACACCTTATTTTCCCTTGCTGTTTTCACTCTTTGTTATTTTCTTCAGTATTTATTCATGGTGACTCGTTTTGCTATTTTTTTTTGTTCTCTATTGTTCTTGTACGGCCATCATCATCTTATTCTTCTTAACCAACAGCCGTATTATTGTTATTATTAGTAGTATTTATTTATTCTACCTAAACTTATCTTCCATTTAGGATATAATTTCACCTCCTCTCGCTAAATAAACTGAAGAGGTTTCACTTTTATCTTTACGAAACAAATTAGGGATCTTTGAACGTCGTCCACTACATTTAACTTAACATTTTTTTTTTTCTTTTGCACAAGGTCTTTTTTTCAAGCTCTCTCTCCTGTTTAGTGTTTATGATGATGGCTAAGATTACTCTTTCCTGTTTTCGAAAACTGGTATGAAAGGTAAATAGTACACTTCTACATTCAAGAAGAAAATTGTAGTTTCTGTGAAAATTGTTTAAAATAAGTTTTCATTTTCCGAGGAGAGAGAAGGGAATGTCTTGTGGGCCCCATACATGTTGCTTTGTGTAAGGACAATAGTTATTATGGAGTTATCTCCCGTGATATAGCTTTGGTTTTTCATATTTGAACTTTCTTTATTCTATTTTTAATTATTTCAGAGAGACTTAGTAACTCTCAAAAGTTAAAAGAAATATACTTGCTCATCCTTAACCAATAGTTTATATTTCACATATAATCAGGTTATTATATATTCTTAATATATAAACATGTTATTAATACAGAAGTTTGAATTAAAAAAAAATCTCCAATCTAAACGCTTCTTACTGCATTACTAGATTTTTATATATATATATATATATATATATATATATATATATATATATATATATATTCCATGCATAGATCATTCTGAACAATGCCTCATTGTCATTACTCAAATATCACCTAAGCAAAAAGATGTTTATTTGGCTTGGAAGTGCAAATGATTTTTTTTTTTATTTTGTCTAAGAAAATTGATGGCTAAGATTACTGTTTCTTGTTTTAGGCTTTTAACTGGTATCTTTGTCCTCTTGTTTTTCTTGTAAAAATCAAAGTTTTACGCTAAAGGATTTTAGAAAAAAAAAATTTATTTTAGAAATTTTTAATGGCCATAAAAACCACAAGATTAAATTTCATATTCATGTAATATTAAACTTCTTTTTTTTCTAGCCATCATTAATTTTATGTTGCTTATTCAGAGACAGGAAAAATACATTAAAATCAAAACTCTTTTGATGCTTAAACATCTCCTTACTGTTAACAGATACAAATGTTTGCATATATGTTAGGAAAAGATTATGTAAATGGAATCAGAAGAATTGCTGAAAGTGAGTGTTTGGGAAAAGGATATGAGAGTTGTTTTCAACAAGCTAAAAAAGATATTGGGTAAGGGTCCCTGCTAGAGTTCATTATAAGGAGAGATGCCAAAATATTTGTAATATTTATGTGAATAAATTTCCAAATGACTTACTAAGTTGACTTTTTCATTTGTTACAAATGTACTGAGAATTATGGCTAAAGACTATATTAACATTTATTTGTGACATTTCTATTATATTTAAACTATGAATACATGTTTAACTTCATCATATAGTTATGCTTTGTCAAGTAGAAAATTAAATGCACAATATTATTTCTCTTTGTTTTTCTTCTCCCACAAAAGCTTTTGATATATAATCACATAGATGTAAAAATTTCTATAGATACTTTTGTATCTATGTAAAAATAACTATTGAATTAAAGAAGAAAAAAAATTATCTTCATTCTCTTAATGCAGTTTTCATGTTACAAATTTTGTGGATATTGTATAAATCAATGGAAAACTTTTTAAGCTTTGAATTTTGAGTTTTGCATACCCCACTCTTCTCCAAAGATGTAATATTGTACAAATTTGAGATTTTAATTATATTTCAGGTTTCCCTTTTTGTTGAAGATTTAAATATTTGTTGAGTTTAATCTATGTACATGTAATAAAGTGATAAATAGTTATCTGAAGTGGTGTGTTAATGTAATTCACTGTACTGATTTTATGTCAATATTGGTTGACTCACATAAAATACTGCTGGTAGTATTGTGCATCAAAGGCTTGTTCAAGGATACATGCATTCTTTTACATTGGTATCCAAGCCACCTGCTTGAAAATATTTTTAAATGAGATTCATCTCACCCAAAAAGTTAATTTAATGAAACTTAGTCTGTCCTCATATTTAGATATTTTCTATATTTTGGCATTAATCCTTACGATAAAATAGACCTTTTTTATCATACAATAAATATTTAGCAAGGTCAACGTAATAGTTATTAGTTATATTCATAGAAAATAACTAATGTTTCTTGTATAGCAGTTGACAATTTCAAAGATCCTTTTTGACATTAATGTTTACAGACTATCTCTTGCTTTAAACAAGATCAATAGTAGCTTTCATCTGATAGTTAACTATGCTCTACAAAGTATTTCTATCTAATTGGTACTTTTATTTTATTTTTTGTCTCTTGTCTTTACAGGTTGTGCGTGTTGCTACTACTTGCACTGCTGCTGCAAAAGAAAGTAAGTCAGGCAGGGCAGGGCAGGTCCAGTAGGAGTGAGCATCAGGATGTCAAACGAAGACACTCCCATCATGACTGCCCCTCCGCCCCCTGGATACCCACAAGACAATGTACAGAGGTTACGAAATGTAATACAATTTTTTTTATTATTATTATTTTTGTCATGTTACCAAACTAACACATTTAAATGAGTTTGGGAGCAATGTCTAAATTAGGACTATGGATTGCAATAATATTGTCTGAACCCTAGGATCTTTCATAATAATCTATTTGGAGACTTATATGTTCTCAGAGCTAAGGTAATTAGGTTTGATACAATAATTAAGGTTTCTGCTTTTCATATTGTTTATCTTTTTAATTTTTAAAAACTAGAGGATTTTTTTATTGGTTTTTGAATTTTTTTACAGACTGATCATTGGTTGTTCATTTATTTTTTATCTTATAAATCATATTTCTTTCCTGGTAAGTTATGAAAAAAAAAAAATTAATTTCACTTGGAAGTAAAGTTTTGCTCTTGTGAAATACCATTAGTAAAATAACAAAGCTGTAGTTAATTTTATTACTAGAGCAATATTTCAAAAACAATGTACAACTCAAATCAGTTTTAACAGTACCCAACTCTGAAGAACATTTTTCAAAATGTCCTTTTTGTAACTCTGAGAAAAACACAGACAAGTATATATCCATCAGACAAAAGGCTAATTCTTTTTGTTGTAGAATATTTTATTCACTAAGCATTGGCATGTGTGTCAGAAAAAGGATCTGCATGTAAAAAAAAAAAAAAAAGTAGTAGGGATTGCTTAGAATGTCAGTTATCCAATATTTATTTTGTCGAATAAATCCTTTATAAAAAGTGATTTCATTCAGTTCTATTTACTCCTTTAAAATAGACTATTATATTTAGATTTCATCTAACAATGAAGAAGTAATAAGTTTTGAGTAAGAGAAATAAGCTCCATTGTATCATTTTGATTTTGTTTTGTTTTTTGTTTTTTCTCTAATGTCAGCTTAATGTAAAATGAAGGGAAAAAAATGTAATATTGTAAATATTTCCTTCATTTGTTTCAGGCTATCAATTCAATGGAAGAGAAAGGAATGCATGATGACCCTCGCTATTCACAGCTGCTTATGATTGCCAATCGGACTAAGTCTGTGGGTGGTGCAGGTGGTGCTGGAGGAAATGGGCCTGGACCACAAGGTGCTGGAGGGCCAACAAATATGGGTGGACCTGGTCCTGGCCCAGGGATGGGCATGGGTGGCCCTGGTGACATGCCACCAGGAAACAATATGAATGGACCCAACATGAACAGCACCAATAATAACCTTCCTGGGCCAAACAATAATAATATGAATATGAATGCCTCTGGTATGGGTGGCCCTCCTCCACCTCCTCCGTCCTCAGGGGCTGGTGGTGGCGGCGGAGGCAGTGGTGGCGGCGGTGGTGGTGGCAACAACAACACTGGGAGTAATAACAATGCTGGTGCTAATGCTGGTAACCCTGGTAACCTCTACTCTAATATGCAAGGTCCCAATGCTTGTGGGCCTCCTGGCATGAATGGACCAGCTATGAACAATATGCCACCTGCGGGTGGGGCGAACATGTCTGGACCTAATAATACTATGCCTGGTAATATGAACTCAAATATGAATGGTCCCCCTGGTCAGGGACCTGCAACCGGTGCTGGACAACCAGGAATGGATTCAAATGAATCAGGACCACAAGGTGAGACTCTAATTTAAGATTTTCTCATTTTGCTATACAACAAGGAATTTATAAAACTATTTTTGTAAATTCTGCTTCTTTAATCACTAATTGACAGTCTCGAATCATGAGGAAGAAGTAATTTACATTGTTCTGAAAGTCACCTTGACAGACATTTGGGTTAAGGACTTAAACTCTAGTTACAATTCAGTGGTTTGACAAACTGTTCTGTTTAGAAATTAAATTTTTTAGCTTTAAGAAACATCTTTGTAAACAAAATGAGTAGCTAGAACTTTCATTTTTATACCTTTGTATTTCTCTTATTTGGTGCTTTGTGTGGTCTGGCACATTTTAAATCTGCCATCATTAAAATAACTCTAGATTTTGCATGTTGTTAATTTTTATTTTCCAATATTTTTGTGGTAGCAATGGCCAGGTCTCAAGATTGCTAGATTGAAGAGATACAACTTGTACTAATTTCTCTTGATAAATTTCCAGATTGTAAGTAGATCAAAATAGTTTCATTTAAACATTAATGAAATAATAATTACATAGGAGATCAGATTGGTTTCCTGTACATTTTGAAACCTGAATGAATTTTTCCCATCTTTCTCAAGGAAAATAGATTTGATAGAGAAATTTAATGCTCCCCAGTATCAAACTAACAAGGAATTGTCTCTTGATAAAATGTTTTAAAAGGCAAATATGTTAATTATATTTGTATTTATTTGCTTGTTCTGATTACCTTTTTCTGATTCTATAAATTTACAAACTTGCTCTTGTTTCAAATGTTTTGAACCCAAATTTCCTGTCAAATGTATTACCTTTTTGTTGATGACTCTTAATTTTGTTTCTAATTAAAAATTGTCTTTACTGTTGAAGAAATTTGATGGCTGAGTTCAAATTCCAGTTGGGTTTCTTGCATTTATATGAGCAAATACCTTTGGGAAAGTTATAAATCCATCTCCCCCCCACCTATCAGTTAAATAATAGGACTAGTATCTGAAAAAATCATTGTTGTTCTCAAAATTTGTTAATGCAATATTCACTTGCATAAAAAGAATTATTCTTACAATCCAAAATGTGTTTTGGCTTTAAATAACCTACAAATGGTTAATAAACTGTCAAAAACAAATCAGTCATTTAATGTTGAACTTTAAAGAAAAGATATACAGTTGCTTCCAAGAGCAGTTGTCTCCTTTAATGATTCTTTAAATTTTGCTAGGGAACTCTCTAAAAGCCAAGTATTGTTGCATCCAAATAGCAAATCGCTGAATATCATGTTTAGTCTTCAAAATAAATACTGAAATATTTAACCTATAACTTGTCATTAGCATATCTAACATTTGGATGCTCAAATCGTTTTGTATATTTGAAGTTACATAAAGCAGTATTCAGGGTAACTACATAGTCAGTTTTATGGGATATTCTTCTGTTCTTGGTCCTTACAATAACTTAGGATGATAATAACAGCAAATATTAAAAAAGGCTATTTAGTGCCTGAATGATATTGGATAAGAAATACACAGCTTGGCTCTTTTTATTATCTCTATGAATTAACAAAATGTTACTTTTTGCTATTCATCTTGAATCACAATTTGCATCATGTGAATATGTGCAATACAGAATCAGTTGACATATATTGATCATAAGGATAGCATTTTTTCCTAGTAATGTGTATACAATAACCAAAAATACTAGTTGCCAATTTCTCTAGATTTACACTCTTTAAATTCATTTTATTCTAAATTGATTTCATATGCTTAAAACAACATTGCTCACACAAATATATATAATTTATATTGGATAAAATTTGATGCAATACATTAAGTGTATTGAAAAGGAAGATTATGTTGAAAAATGTGTAAAATAATTTTTTTCCGTCATTAGGCTGCAAACCTATAGATTTACTTATATTGGAATAAATGACTCGAAAACAATTTTATCCAATTGTAAAATGATATTTATAATGAACTAATTTAATTAACCTGGAGAAATTCCACAGAAATAAGATTATCCATTATTTTGTGCCTCACTTCTCTCATTGCCTGTATCTTCTTTATCCATTTCAAGTTTTGTTGCCCATGTATGTATCCATATGTGATACATATATGGATTAGTCATACATAAAAAAGAATGAAAGATGCAGAAATATTTTCTACTCTATTTTTTTATCTTCCTCTGGCTCTTTCTTTATAAAGAATATTAATATATTGATTTTATGCTTTTCCATCCTTCAAACCTATCATTCTTTCATCTCTAATCTCTATCTCTTCTTACTAATATATATATATATATATATATATATATATTCCATGTCAACTCAGCCAATGGTCCCTTGGGCAACATTTCAAGATTTTATGAAATCTTGGTATATGGTACCCACCTAAACCCTGAAACTTTAGCTTAGTTCAGGAGTTATGGCCTCTTGAAATTTCCTGCCAGTTTTTACTGATTTCAAAATTGTATGATTTGGCACCTCATAACTTTGCATTCTATGAAGATACAGAGTTGCTATATGGTGGTATTGTAGTCTAATGAGTGAAGAAAATAATTGTTTTTTTTTTTTTTTTTTTTTTTTCATTTTATTCCTACTCTATAGTTATATAAAGGTAAAAAGGGGGGGAAATTATTTGGCTTTTTTTTCCTTCTGTGGGTGTTTTGCCATCCATAGAAGCAAAACCATTAGCAATAAAATAAAAAAATAAAGTTGATTATAACCATTTGATGATTTGCCTTGTCTAAAACATTGAAATATTCGTTTTATAAGAATTACTTAATTTCTAGTCAACAAAAAATTTCTATCACCCCTTGAAGTAAAACCAAATTTTAAATTTTATGTATATATATATATATATTTTTTTTTTTTTTTTTCCACTTCTCTCACAAGAGGTGGTAGCAAAGTTTTGTCAATTCGGAATTATGTAATTCTTGTAAAACCAATATTTCAATGTTATACACAAAGCAAATCACTAAATGGTTATAATCAGTTTTATTTTTTATTGCTAATGGTTTAGCTTCTATGTGTGACAAAACACCCGCAAAAAAAAAAAACACCATCAAATATCAACTCTATATCTTCTCATAATGCAAAGTTATGAGGTGCCAAATTTGGCAAATCATGCTATTTTGAAATTAGCAAAAATTAAAAGCAGGGTCTCCTGAACTAAATGCCTAAAGAAGCTAGGGTTTTTTGTTTATAATAGGTGGGTACCATATACTAAGATTTCATAAAATTCTTAGATGGTATCCATAGGAATTTCTGAAAACTTGTATGAATTGATGTGGAATCTCTCTCTCTCTCTCTCTCTCTCTCTCACTCTCTCTCTCTCACACACACACACAGCCTGCTTTTCTTTTTTTGTTATTCTTTCAATTTCTTACTCTCTCCTCCCCTTCCATTTCTCACTTTTTTGAAATTCATTGTTCCCACTTAATATTATGTAAGTCTCCTAGTTAGAACAGGTTGTAGTGTAATGGTTAGCAAATTCAAATTCCAATCAAGTTCCTTACATTAACTTTTGTGCAAATACTATTAGTATGATTCCATCCCTTCTTCACCCCACCCCTAGCTATTGGTTAAATAGTAGGGAAACTTGAGTTCTTCTAAGAGAAAGCTCTGAATTTAAAACCAGTTGGAAACCACATCAACAATGCCTAGCATTCATCAGTGGAATCTGTAGGACTTGAGCAAGTTCCTAGTCAAAAAGCATGACTGATTCCAGTTCAGAAAGGTCACTTATCAAGCAGATACTACACTCTGGTCCTAGGTTGACAAAGCATAACAGTTGTATATGCAAACAAATAGGGTAATGGTATAGATTTCTTGCAAAGTGCAGCCTGTCTATAGAATTCTGAACAACTGACATTGCAAACACTTTCTTTTTTTTTCTTTTAAGTACAATTATATTGTTTCCATCTGCTTGATATTCTATTATACTGTGTATCATTCATACTTAAGAAGCAAACTTATTACTTTTTATGGCTAAAATTGAAAACTATTGCTTGCATTGTTTAGGCAGTACATTTTTAGCTATATTTTCAATTTAAATTCATTTTATGAACATAGCTTTATATTTCAGTGATTTAATTAGAAATGCAATTAAGTCTCATACTATTTTCTAAAGATTTTGTTTAAAAAAAAAAATGTTCTGAATTTTATGAAAATGATTTTATGATTTACACCTGTAACTGAGTAGGTCTTTACTACTGATCTATAATGGCTTATCATTATTTAAACAAAATAATTTTCTGAATATTACCATATCTTAAAAAAAATCGTACATGAGAAGGTAAAATGAAAATATAACAAACATATATATATAGTAAAGAATGGAAAAAAGGAACTAAGAAACAAGAAAAATAATATTTATATATAAAATACTATGCTTTGAATATCACTTTACAAATTAGACAATGAAAACATGGCTATGTAGAATGACCAAAAAGAATATAGATTATCATGATCATATAAATATATGAAAGGTGTGGCTTTCAATACGTTTCTCTGCTGCTGTTGTATTTTTTGTTGTTTTTCTTTTTAATACCTTCTGCTACAGTTAAAGCAGATATATAAAATTAACAAGTGAATCCTGATGGTAAGCGGGCAGATGACATATATTACACCAACATTCTGCTGCATGAACACCACAGTATAATTGCAAATTCTTAGGGAGTATTCATAGGTAATTCCAAGGGATGGCCAGTCCCTATTTTTTTGCACAAAAAGTGATCCCCCCACATAATTAGATGAGGTGCATGGCATCCTTGGGACTTTTTTTTTTTTGAAAGTGAAAGCAAGAGAAAAGCAAAAATTGATAGTAAATATGAATTAAATGAATAATGGGTAAATTAGAAGGAAACTGTATACTTGCTTTTATAAATACGTTTTCACTTGCTGAACAAAATGTTATAAAGATGTTTTCTGTCTGGATTTCTGTGATAAGGGGTTATCATTATTTATATTCAAACTATTGTCCTCATCTTTGTTGATAAAGGCAATAGTTTGAGTATAAATAATGTTATAAAGATGTCTTGTAACATACAAATGGAACTGAGAACAAATTCATTCTGGAAAAAGAAATTTGATGAGTTTCTCTATCCCAAATGTTTCTGGCTTCATTAATTTCTGGTAGTCTATTTTCCAGAACTAAGAAAATTTGCTCAAAATTATTTTGAAGTAATGTGCAAGAAAAAAAGAAAAGAAAAAAGAAACCTTTTTCAGCTATGAAATTGATTAAGACAAGATCAAGATTGACTGATTAAAATTTAATGAAATCTCTGTTGCTCTAATTTAACTCCAAATACTAAAAGTTTGATAAAACTGAAATACACAAAACTCTCATTAAAGGAAGTAATGCTCATCTTGTTTTTATATTAAATCAATGGATTATATAAAAATGCTGCATATATTTATATAAATTAATGTCGGCATAAAATTTGTATGGTGCATTGAACTTGCGTAGAAAAATTTACATATAAATTATGAAAAGCTAGTCTTTCTCTCACTCTCCCTCCACTACTGCACTAGGCAGTAGACTGAAAGTAACACTTTGATACTTAGTGGGGGTGTACATCCATATATAAATAATATTAAATTATTTTTTATGGTTATTATGCTAGTAGTAAATATGGAAAATGTGGCCTTGAATATTCTTGAATCTATTATTTCATAGATTGGCAGATATAAAATCATGTCATACATATGCAGAAGCAAATGAAGGACCAAGAAAAGAGCAAATTTTATTAATCAAGATTTGCTTTTAACATTTTTCTTTTTGTACTAGCTCGTGTATGTGTATATGTGTGTGTACATGTGTGTGTATTATTGATATATTATTATCATTGTATAAAATTTGATGAAAAATGACAATGTTTTTAAACAGCTATAAATCTTTATTTTATCTTTGTGCTTTCATAGGTAAAGATTTCTTCTGGTTGTATGTAGGCCACTTTTCTCAGTGTCCCCAAACTTGTTCTATCTCCTATAATTAGTCAGGCCGTTGCTTCATATGAATTATTTACTTTTGCTGCTTTCTCTTTGTTATTAGATTATATTGGCTAACATTCCCACCATCACATTCAAAATGTGATTTTTCTTTTCTAATCATTTTGAAGGTATATGTCTTGTCTTACAACTTTCCAGTTTGACTTCTGATTTTTCCCACCTGTTGCTATTTTTAAAGGGCTCTCTCTCTCTCTCTCTCTCTCTCTCTCTCTCTCATTTCATAATAAAGAAGCAAGCCTTGTGATAAACAGTCATTAGATATTTGGATTGTACTCTGTTTTGGTCTATTAGTTGAATTTGTTTGTCTTTAATAGTATGAATTAATCATGTGGTATACTTCATTTCCAGGCAACAATCAGCCTCCTTCAGGTATGGGAGGCAATCCAAACATGCCGCCCCATGGACTTTCCACAGGACCAAGGACTCCTTTCTCAGCTGTACAGTTGTCCCAGCTACGTGCTCAGATCATGGCTTATAAACTGATAGCCAGAAATCAAAATCTGCCCGACCATATACGTTATGCTATTGAAGGTAAAAGATCTGGTTATGGTCCACCTTATCAGAGACCAGGTAAGTTGCTTCATTCTTTAACTTATCCTTTTATAAAGAGTTTTGAAAATACTTTGAGCTAATTATTTTTGCTCTAGTATAATGGAAACCTGTCATTTCTTTTAACTGTTATAAGCTTGACCTCTGAACAATTATTTGACTTGTGATACTAAAAATATTTATTAATATTTCTTAGAAGCATAATATTGTAATCTTGAATGTACCAAGATTACTGCTCATTATAAGAATATTTTTGATAGATATGAAATATTGGCAGTCTATTCTCTGCCAATTAAAAACTGAACACTTAAAATGTTTTTCATCAAATCTTGTGCCTGTGAGATTCTTTTTAAGGATACCTTGAGATAAATTATTGTTAAAAATTTATGAAATTGAAAAGGGATTTATATTAAAGACTTTAATTTTAATTAATAGAACTCTGAAAGTAATCCTCCCTGAATTACTGTGGTTACTATTGGAATTCATTGAATTTATTGTGCCTGAATAGCACACTGCTAAATTAAAATTTACAAAGTTGATTTTATTTAGACAAGCATTTCCCAATCATTTTGCCTTTGGGGAACACTGGAAATAAATTCTGTGTCTTTGGGAACCACTACATAATAGTTATTATATAACTTTATTAATTTTTTTTTTTTTTTTTTTTTTTTTTTTAATAAAGTTCAACTTTTTTTCCCCTGATAACTGTTTTAAGCAAAGAATAAGTTTTTCTCAGATATATTGTCAATCAAAAAAATACTTTTTCATATGACTATATGGTTTTAATTTGCATAAGAAAAATATCAAACATCTATATTCAAAAAACAAATAACCAACATTCACAACATAAACAGAAGAGAATTACAGTGACTTAATTTTAGAAATAAGATAAATGAAAACAACATGTACTATGGGAAAAAGCAATAATACAGAAAAACACCCCCTGAGCTGTGATATCCAATGGAATTTTTTAATTACCACAATCTATTTCTTTAGAAATTTTCCATGTTCTTGAAAATAAAAAGTGTTATTAAATATTTCTTATTCTGTTGGACAATCCTTCCTAGTTACATAGCTTGCTATATACAAAAGTGATATTTTAATATCTTTAGAGATAGTGGTTTCAAGGTAAATTATCAAATGTTTATCATGCTATTTCATACATCAAATTTGAGCAATTATGGTCTTGGTCAAAGTTGTATTCATTAACATCAACATTCACCTAAATAAGTAATTTTTTATTTTTTCAAAATGAAATTTTTCAATAACATTTTGTACTCTTATAAAATGTGTACTGCCACAACCTTGTCATAATTTTCCAAATTCAGTTTCTAAGTACTCTGATAAAATCACTCAGCATATCGAAATTAAATTAACTGCTTAGCAAATATCTAAAAACATCAATTAAACAATTGTATGTAAGTTTCATATTTTGTCTATTTACAAAGGGCAGTAAAATTAAAATTCCAGAGTTTTTTTAAATTAGGAAAAAATATTTATTCATAAAAAATACATTTTTTAATCATTATATTCATTGTTATAGAGAAAAATATTAACTTTATGTAACAAAATTCTTAATGACGTTTCACATTTTAAAACTATTTTACTAAATTGCAGAAATGTAGGAGAAAACAATGTGATATTTTTGTGGCTTATTTCAAAGAACAGTCATAAAATATCAAATTAAATCTGAATTTAATTATTGCATTAACTTTGATAAAATTCTTAAATAACAATCATTTTGTAGTGCAAAATATAACATTTTTGTTTTCTATTTATGGAGGACAGTAAAATTAAAATTGAACAATTTTTTTTAAAGTACCTTAGAAAAGCACATTATTTGAAAAAAAAAATACATTTTATAATCAATATGTTTATTGTTATGAAAAACAACATGATAGAGGAAAATATAAAATTTGTGGTAAAAGTTTTAATAGTGAGATTTTTTGTCAATTTTGCATCAAAAATGAAATTGTTTTTGAAAGATAAAATTAAAATACTGTAAATAAAATAAATGAACCATATACTTACTTCAGTCTCTTAAACAATGTGTTAATTAATCTGAAAGTTAACAATTTCTTTTTACAAAAAACTAAATTGTTTACAGGGATTCCAGCAGCAAGCCTTTGTTATAGCTTATATGTTAAGCTTAAAATCAATAGCACCACTCCCCCTCAGTTGGCCAAGATTTGCGCATGTTTATATATATATATATATATATATATATATATAGCCTTTGTTTAAAAATTAAAAACATTGTTTTCTTTGTGTATACACAGTTATCATAAAATATTGCCTATGGGGTGTTGGGTCATAAAAACACAAACTTTTAAAATCTTCCAAAATTCATCTCTCAATAAAGCTTTGTCATTTATATAAAGGGTGGTGTGGGTTTTTTGTTAGTGATTTTCAATTGTGTATCAAAGCATATCACGTTGAGGTTTATACATTTTATAAAGACAAGTCCTTGATAAATAAATACTGAAAAAAATAAAAATTCAGAACCTAAAAATGTTGATATGTGTACCTTATTCCTGAATTTGAAGAAAAAAAAAAATTTATATTCTAGTGCTATTGTTTGTAATGAATAAAAAATTCTAAAATATTGATTTAATATTTTAAAAATCTTAAAACTTTCAAAAAATTGTACCACTTACACAGCTGTTGATTTGATATTATTAACTACAGGTACAAAGTCTTGTCATTCCCATTTTTCAGTTGTCCTCATTCTTGCACTGGCTACATCTTTGCTAAGACACTGATTGAAAAAAAAAACATAAATCTCCTACATTAATTTCAAAAGAATTTGTAGAAAAATGAGCATCCTGGTTAAGATGATAAACTATGTCTGACAGTAAAGCCTCTGATCAGGCAGTTTTGAGGAACCACCTCTTAATTGCTGGTGTTCCCAGGTTCACCCTGATTGGGTTGGTAGCACCTGTTAGGGTCTCAGCTATGGGCAGATATTTAACCCCCTAGACTGTGGTCAAAAGACTATGAAAGTGTAAAAATAGGTTTTAATACCAAAAGTACCTTTTTGTAAAACATTATTAACAGAAATACGTTTTTGAATATATATATATATATATATATATATATATATATACCAGCAATAAAAAATTTTGTCAGCATTAAATAACCCATTGAGGTTGATATGCCACAAAAAAAAACAAAAAAAAAACAAACCTAGAAGAATGAATTAATATATTACATGGTGATATTTTAGATAGGGCTATATATCATACATGGAATTTAGGTGGTTGCAACATGCAGTTTAAGAGGTAAATAATAATTATAAAAGGCTTTATTTTACAAAGATTTCCTATAATGATCCTGTTTGAAACTTCTCCAAGAACCCTAGTTGTCAAATATTGATTTAGATAAATAAATGCACTCGCACTTCTACAAAATAATTTGCATAAAGACAATATATTATTTCATCTTGCTTTTTCTATGAATGTGTGCAAATTCAAATTTTGAATTTAGAAATGAGCATAAATACTCTTTACTTAAAATTTTGGAAACTTTGCTGAAATCCCATAATTAGTAGATTTTGGTGTGATTTGTTGTTGTCAAAAGTGTGCACAAATGCATTAGCAATTTCCTAGTGAAGGAAGTAAATGGATAGAAAATTTTGTTATGATGTTAGTTGAAAGTGTACTAATTGGAACCATGTTAAATGGTGGGTTGCTGTACTTCCATTTCCTTTTCTTTCAGCAGCTATTGGTTAAATTGAGTTTTTCAATTTTTATATACTTTCATGTTTTTCAAGGTCCCTCTGAATATTTAAAGTCAATCTGCATGTTAATCCCTGCATCCTTAGCTTAATATCAACAAGAAGTAATTCTTTCTCTTTTGGCTTTGGTTTTGCCACTTTAACAGGGATACAACTTCTTTTTCAAAAAAAGGCATAAGCTCAAAGTTACAAAGAATTGTACAGTTATTTGTTTTTGCTTTTATTGAAAAATTCCAATATTAGCAAATTCTCAACAGAATATTGAGAAATTTTTTGATTCAAATCCTGTGAATATACTTTTTAATTATGATTTATTTCCTTTTTAGCTCGCTAAGCACTTGGAAATACAATTGATATGGCATAAATATTTATTTTCTTTAAATAGTGAACATGGTTTATTTCAGTTTAAAAAATAGAAGAAATAACACTTGAATATTACAAATTGTTGTGGAAACTTTAATCTTTAGTAAAACTGAATCTCAGTCATTTATTGGAGGAATAAATCACCTACAAAGGTAGAATAACTTTCTTTTCCTGAAAAATCTGTATTTGATTTTATGTTTTGGGAGCCTAGCTCAATGATAGATCAGTATATTAATGGCTTTATAAGTATAAAGTTTTGTTACTACTTAAATTGAAGAAATTCATAACCATAAATTCTAAGACTAAAGATAAAACAATGCCTTTGCTAATACATTTTTGGTATGACTGGTATCATTAGTGAACTGTAGAGTTGCATTCTTGTTATCACTCGCCTGCTAATTTTTACTTCCAGATGCTCATCCAATGCAACAGATGAGAATGAATCAGCCCCAACAGCAGCAGCAACAAGCACCTCCTCCCCAGGGCATGGGACCTGGTGGCCAGAATTATCCCCCACAAATGATGACACCTCAAGGCCAGCCGAATGTTCAGTCACAGCAGCGAATGCCTCCACAACAACCCCCAACCTCTATTCAAGCCATTGTCTCCCTGCAGCAACGGCAGAACAGAGTGTCACCTGTAGGGAAACCTACTGGCCTAGACCCCATCGAAATTCTTAATGAGAGGGAACACAGGTAATACCACCTGCTTTTTTTGCTATGCTAACCACCAAAGATTTGAGATTCTTTGAGTTTACATATAAAATTAGCTAAGTTTGATTATCTCATAGTCAGATTTTTATAAGATACTTGGTATATTTAGAGAATGAAAATTTAAAAACCTAAAGATGCTAAATATTAACATTTTTGTTTTGAAAGATTTAATCAAGACAAATGTACAAAGGTTTCTACCTCTTTATAATTGATAGATCTTTATAGTTAAATAAATGTGTGGTTCAAAATTAAATATCCACGCACATCCTCCATAATGTTCTTTATATAAACATTTTGAACAAGTTCTCATTGAAACCTACATTGTACATTACAAAAAGTATTTTATGGAGAGTCCATGAACACAAAGTAGATAGTTATCCTATTGTATAACTTTTGTAATGAATTGTTTACACATAGCTTGAAGTAGGTATCCCAAACAGAAATTTTATTTTCAATATATCCAGGGTTTGTACAGGTCCTGGAATTTTCTAAATTGGACTGCTCACATATCCCCTTTCTCAATTCATGAAAGTCAAAATGCCAGATCCCAGAAATCTGGAGTTTTTTACAAGCTAAAATTTTCCTTTAAGAAAAATGTTTTTTTAGTCATCACTAATATTTGGCAATTATTACAAATAGTGGTTTGCTTCCTTGATTAGAACAAATTCCTGATCTAGTAGTTACTTCTGTATTTTCTCATCTAGATGACGAGAAAGAATATGAAGGTGTGTCTTCTAGTTGCTACCTTCACTCAACAAGAAAAGATGAAGGGCGTCAGAGACAAGTAAACATCTCTGTCAAAGATAAATTAATTTGCACTCATTGAATTTGTAGTTGAAAGCAAAATAATAAATTATTTTACAGTTATAAAATACATTTTAGTAGAATCTCAAAATATATCAGTGTTTTTTAAAATTTGAATAATTGAAGAAATTTTATTCACCTGTCAATTTCAAAAATAAAAAGTCCTTTTGATCTCTAGTCAGCGGTGGGTTGAGTTCATGCTGAAAAATAGATATTTTATGCAGCCCATGTCAGTGTGTCATCTCTGTGTAAACTATGTTTGTCTAAATTGTTGCCAACAAGTTTATAAATCAAATTTGACTCCAAGAAAATGTAGACTGGAAAGATGATATAAAACGTGCCATTGATATGTCTTAGGATAGAAAATAAAAGAATGTTATTTTTAAAGTTTGCAGGTTATGATGACCTGTATCTCTAGCTATTGTGTGAAAAAATGATGAAATATTAAAACTTATTTAGCTTTTATTGCTCAACTTTATATTAAAATTTCAATCTGGCAACCCTGTCCTTTTTACTTTTGTATTTCTGCCATAGATGGCTAGAAAATGACAAACATGTGAACAACTCCTAGATATTTGGCCAGATGTTATCAAATTTATGAACTTAATTAAAAAAAAAAAAAATGTCTTCAGACCCTGTCTTTCTCAGCAGTGCTGTCAAATGTGAATGACATTTTGTTTCCAATGAAACTGCAGATTTTTTGTATCTGTTTCAAGAGGCATTGAACCGTTTCTGATAAAATATCAGTGATAAATTGTTTTCTTTCCTTGCAGATGATCTTTTTAGCATGATCATGAAACTTAAAATTTGTAAAGGAAGAGCACACTAAAAAGATAATTACATTTTCCAAAATGAATGAATTTGTAAGAATTTTGTCAAACCCAAACATGCATAAAGATACTGCAAAGATTGAGTGTGCATTTCTGGCAGATAATGCTATGTAGAATTTATCCAAAAAAGGAAATGTATAAACAAATGATCTGTTTGTATGCAGAATTGCCACAATGTACATCATCATCATTGAGAAACTTCTGGCAGAGTCTCCCCGTAGATACTCTCTTGTAAGGTCACTTGCTTGGCTGAACCCTGAATCCATTTTTGAAAAAACTTACCATAGAAGACAATCTAAAAAGATGTCTTTATCACATGATGGATAGAAAAGTCAGCAAGTCTGATTGTAACAGTCAGTACAAAATTTCAAGGAGGATGCTACTGGAAATATTGCTTTCAAGAATTTCAGCAAGCATGAAGACCATTTGTACATTTTGTTCTACTCTTCTTTGCCTAGCAACAAAGACTATCAAAAAACTGTGGAAAGTTGTTCACTGCTGGTACTCTCTCATAGACAAGCCTCAGTAGAGAGAGACTTCTCAGTCAATAAGGAAATTTCCACTGACTATATGAAACCACACAATGGTCACACAGTGCATTATCACAGACTAATTGGCCACAGTTGGAGGATTTGAGAATGTTCCCATGGCTAAGGCTCTTCTCTGTAGTGCTTTCAATGCTGGAACAGCATACAACCAATACCTTGAAGCTGAGAAGAAAAAGAGGCAGGAAGAAGCAGCTGGACAAAAATGGAAATCTATGCTTGTGGAAATTGAAGAACTGAAGGTCAAAAAAACATGATCTTGAAAGTTGCGCACAAGATTTGCTCAAGTCAGCTGGGAGCTATGCTGATGAAGCTGAGCAGATTCAGAACTTCACACTTATCACAAGGTCCAATTCCATGTAAAGATCTGCAAAGGACAAATTCATAGAGATATCCAAATTGGAAGAGGAGCTGAATGCTAAACTAGATGAACTGAAAAAATGGTAACATTGTGTTTTGTGCCATGTGCAACAAAAGTGATGAGTAGTAGTAGTAGGTAGCTAAAATGTGTATTCTTTTTTGTGAAAATTTCTATTTGTAGTTCTGTTCATTAAAACCATTATACTTCACAGGAAGTGTGCAGCAGTTAAGAATATTTATGACATTCACATGCATGAGTAGTCTAGATAGCTGAAATGTATAGCAGTAAGAATTAAAGTGTGTAAATCAAAATTTCCAAGTGTAGTAGAACTCCAAACTGTAGAATGCTGCACAAAATGTGTAACATAACTAGGTCTGCATTCAGTTGTGTTTTAGCTTTCAACACTTTGATTTCTTCACTGCTTTCAACTGATTCATGTGATATGAATTATTGGCACCGGTTGTAGTTTTGAACATTTCATCTGTCAAACTATTAGAAGATAAATCACAAAGTTTGTGTTTTTGAAATTAATGACCCTTCACTTTGTGTGTGCATGTGCATGCCAGTTTCAGTCCTAGAATATTTTTTACACAGATCTGTGGGAACCTTGTCTACAAACCTTTATATAAGGATGGAGAACTTTACGAAACATGAAAAAATGGTACCAAATTTATTTTGTTAGTTCAGTTAGCAATGCAGTTATGATCATTCAAAGTTTGTCCATTTTCTGTCTTGTACTATTGGACCAGAACTCAATTTCAACAGTATATAACTGAAGACACATGCTTCAGACTAGTTAAAAATTCTAATAAATGTAATCCTATATAGGTAGTCTTGAAGTAAAAGAAATATAATACTAATGGAATCAATAATTATTACATCAGACCAGCCTAAATGTTGGGAAAATTTGCATTCTCCAAAACAAAATAGTTAAGTCCATACACAGAAGAGCACATTTGACTGTTTATATGAGTTTTATTTCAGCAGTTAATGCTTTGTAGATTCTTGCTATGATTCATAGCACAATGGGGATTAAGCCTTTTTTTTTTTTTTTTTTTTTGCTAATACATTAATAAAAAAAAATCTCGTATTTACACCATATAAAAACAGTCAGAAGTGCAATTTGAAACTAATAATTTGGAGATGAGGAATTCAATAAGTAATTTTTCTCATACATGTATTTATTTTTTTTTTAACTTTATCATAAAGAGGTCAGTAATGTGTACAAAACTTAAAAATTTGTTTCATAAAATGAATGCTGCTTATTATAAAGCTTTAAATTCATTTATCTTCAAACTAAAAACACTAAAATTAATAAAAATACATTTATTGGAAATGATGAAAAAGTCTTTGGAGTGATCTACTTGCATTTCATCTTCTGATAAGGATTTGCAGTCTGAATTATTTTTATAAGTTTCTGTTATACCCAATATTCTTGGAACGCTTCATATCCTAACATTTCTTGAAAATAGCATTATCTCAAGTCTCATCTAGAGACAAATGTTGACACTATTTGTGCAATATCATCCAACAAAGGTCATCAAAAATAATAATTTTTGTCTTTTGGTTTGAACTAAAAAATCACTGACTTGATAACTGTAAAAATTGGAATTATAGTATACTGCAATCCACTAGCCTTGGTGCTTTAACTGAAGGTCATTTGAAGTGGTTCTTCATAAATTCTAGAGTTGTTTGAATACTCTCATTTACTGAATGCCTTTCCTTCTATCCTTTGTTCTTTTAAAGGTGAAAATGAAGTTCCATTATAAGTTTTATTAGTGAAGTTTCTATTTCCTTCATCACTGGTTTTTAGCTTATCAGCATACATTGCAAGAAATTTGGGGTTTATTTTAACCTGCAAAAAAAAAAAACAATAATCCTAGCTTGGAACCAAGCATGTAGGTATAAAAGCAAATGCATTGGCAAAACATGTTACTAATATGGAAATTAGATATTAAAATACCATACACAGACTTCAAAAACAATATCACTATGTATATCCAAAGAAAATGGCAAGCAATATGGTATAGTTAATAAAGTAATAAACTTCATGAAATCAGACTGACACTTACACTTGAGAATCAAGGCAAGATACTGTGCTGACCCAAGTTTGAATTGGTCACACATACCTCACCCATGTACACCTCTTTTAAGGCTGAAAACAGCCCCTGATGTACACTTTGTGGGCACCAATTAACTATAAAAACACACATGTTAGAATGCAAAGAATATACACACATATGCCCTAAATACTATAATATACTAAACTTTGAGATACTGTTTTAAAACATGCTTATTTCTGTGGACATGAAAGTGAGACTAACCTTGGCTCTCGACATAAGAGGGTTCGTTTGTGTCTGGCGTGCAGGGCAGTAATTGATCCGAAGGAAGAAACACCACCATTACGGTGAGTCGGTCTTATGGGAAAAGCGATCTCGTAGC